GGGGGGGGATTATGATATAAAAGCTTCCTTTGTTCAGTTCCTGTCTTGAGTATAAATCCATGCGGCAACTTTCACTAGCTATCCGTCTGTCTTGCAGCTGTCAAGTCAGACATGGCGATCATAAATTGACCTTATGCAGTTGCGAGCGCCGTAAAACCTTACCTTTAGAAAAATGTCAGACATGGTCAGACGCCCCACACCGAGCTATGTGGGCCAAATGTAGCCCACAGATCGCGGACTTTGAACTCAGATATTTGCTCGTTTTGTCACCACTCGACAGATCTCCAGTGCCAGTTCCAGAAAACAACCCAACAAGATCACTGATCAGGAGTGCTGGATCTAACTTTTTTGTGTGATTTTCGCAATGGCCATGTCGATATCTTAACTCAAGAAAACTGGACAAAAGCCTCAAGGGAAAGATTGCAAATATTTGATCCCTCATCCACAAACAAAGATAATTGAAAGGGGAATGTGACTGGGTCAAGTCTGTCTGGGCCGAACCTAGATTGACACACTGTGTGACTGTGTGTGACTGTGTGTGTGATTGTGTGTGTGACTGTGTGACTGTTTGTGCGACTGTGTGTGAGACTGTGTGACTGTCTGTGTGACTGTGTGACTGTGTGTGAGACTGTGTGACTGTCTGTGTGACTATGTGACTGTGTCTGTGTGACTGTGTGACTTTGTTGGAGGTATTTATTTTTAAAAAAACAAAAAGCAGGAAGTACTTGAATGAAATCTCTTTAGCCCAATGTCGTAGGATTGACACTCAAGTAGTTCCCGGAATAACCCCAAAAGCCGAACCACCCGGCACAGACGCGACGAACATTGAGTGTAGGTTTTGCTCAAAGTTTCAATGACAAAAAAAGGGTAGCGGGCTGGTGAATTATGCTGTTGAATAACTTACTGGTCCTCAATGAATAAAAAACGAAAAAACAAAACCCCACAACCAAAAAACCTAACCAAAAACCACCCACACATGCCTAATAAATCAGATGAAAATGGCGAACACATTTAGCTCACTGCTTAACAAGCCTAACGGTGTCATTTGCTTAGGATTGGGCACGGGTTGGGGGCGGGGAAAGGGGGTGCGTGGGATGGGGGTTGG